GAAAGGGTTTTTAAACAAGGATACTTCTTAATACTTTGGGGATTATCTAGACTTCTCCGATATATTCCCATGTGGTATTGTAGAGAGAACCACTTTCTTGACTTTTGTCATATGACTTACAGGTGAAAAAGAAGTTTTGAGAGTGGTCTGGCTAGAAAGGTGGCCTCTTTTGTATCAAAAAGGCCTTAAGACTTGATTTTCAGCTTACATTAGCAAACCAACTTGCTGATAAGGGGAAAAATGATTGAATTAGAAAAGATTTAAAGTAATATTTACCTGGCTTTAAAAATTATTATTAGAGATTTTATTTTTTAGGGCTGTTTTAGGTTTATAGAAAAATTGAGCAGATAGTATAGAGCTCCCACATTACCCATTCACTCCTACCCCAGTTTCCCCTACTATTAATATCTTACATGATATTGGCACATTTGTACTAATATTGGTACATTATTATCAACTAAAGTCCATACTTTATTCAGATTTCTTTAGTTTTCTCCTAATGTCCCTTTTATGTTCCAAAATACCACATTACATTCAATCATCATTTGTCCTTAGACTCCTCTTGAATATGACAGTTTCTTAGACTTTCCTTGTTTTTAGTGACCTTGACAGGTCAGATATTTTTGTGAGATGTTTTCATGTTGAAATTTGTCTGATGCCTGATTTCCTTTTAAATATGTATTATAGTATCTGGTTTGATTTTGTATAGGTGCCTAGAGATGCTTGCATCAGGATATTGTTGTGGTTAGTTTTCTGTCGAGGACAAGGGTGGTGCTGTTCTTTCTGGGGGACTAGGGAGATACAACCCTAGGGAGCAGGAAAAGCAGCCAGATGTCATGATTCAGAGAGGAGGAAGGGTGTTTGTGTCTCATTCCTAGTGGCCTCATAAAAAGACACTCCCTGGTGGTTATTGTAGAAGTCTCATTTGGGCTGATGGTCCTTTAGTTTCTATCTGGTACTGAAAATTTTGGCAGCATTGAGGTTATTGGCGGTTGTATCTGGGGAGCTATTCTGAGGGTCTCAGGAAGCTATTGTAAGGCTCTTTTTGTTCATTTTATGCATGCTGCAGGGTTTTAAGAATCTGAATAGCAGCAGCTCTTTGCCATCCAGTGAGCACTGTGGATGGGCTCTGCAGACAGGGAGTGTGGCAGAATGCCAGAGATAGGAATGGATGTCCCTTGCCCCTGGCAGAACTCTCTAGTTCTCTTCACATGTGGCAGCCCTTAGCCTACACCTCATCATCCTAAGCCATTTTTTCTTTTACAATTGGGCTTCAAGAAGTGGGGAGGGTATTCGATTTAGTGCATGTATCTTGAGTCCAGCTGGTGACTTTTTACCAATAGATTTCTGCTTCTGTGCCTTAAGTTATCTCTTGGTATGTGTATGTGGTATGGGGGAGTGCATGGGGGTGGCTTGGTTAGGGATCTGTGGCTTGTAGAGAAAGTGAGCAATGTGGGCATATGTCAGTTTTCCTGATGAAAAGCACCATAAGAGATATCACTGTTAAAATGTGGTCTGTAACAGTGCTGATGAGCAGGCTTTGGATAGTAACTCTGCATTTTACTTACTGCACAGTGCATGACCATAACCAGCATTTTATTGCTCATTCTGTGTCTGAAGAGCTGCTTATTTATTCTCTGGCCAGTAATGACACAATTTAGAAAGAAATAAAAAACCACAAACCCCACTTACAAACACACATACGTGGACATACACACGTGCACTCATTCTACCCCTCTTTGCCAGAAAGTTACATCTCTCTTAGCTGGCAACGTCAGGGTGCACAGTTCTTGAAGAGGAGGTTTCTAATCAGGGAGATGCGGAACAGAGAGAGTCTGCTGCTGTGGCCTGAAATTTACAGCTCCAAGAATCCATTTGCTGCTGCTATTGCTAACGTATTATGGGGGGTGACAAATACCAGTAACTTGTCACAGGGTATGCTTAGATCTTCACATTCCATAATCAGGGGGTGAAGTTGTGAGCACTGTGATACCTTCCCTGGTTTTATTCCTCTCTGAGCATGACCAGGGAGCGGAGAATATCTAGATACTTCTCATGTGTTGATTATAGGAATTTCCCTATGTTTGGCAATTGACAGTTTAAGAAGAGTTAGTTTTGGTTTGAAAGGAGGTGTAGATATGTCCAGCACTGAGAGTTTGGAAACACTGATGTGTGTGTGTTTGAGATGCCTGATGATTACCCTATTATCCTTTGGGTATCTTTTGGAAGGAAGAGCTGTATTGATTTGCTATATTAGTTACTTTGCTTGGTATGGCTTAGTGGAATTTTTTATTCTCTTTGGTTTGAAATTAGAATAACAGAATAACAAATCATGGAAACCTTACTCCCCCCAAATGTTCTTTTATCCATTTTATAATATTTTTCCTTTCACCCAGATTTTTTTTTTTCTTTTTTGTCTCTTTTTTACTGACCAGTAACGGGATCGCAACCCTCGGTGTCGCGCCCGTACTGGGGACCGGCAACGGGATCGCAACCCTCGGTGTTGTGCCCGCACCGCGCTCAGCCAGTGAGCGGGAACCGGTCTCCACATGGGATCCGAACCCTCAGCGGGAGCGCTGCCGCGCTCCCAAGCGGCACACTCCCCAGTGCGCCACCAGGCTGGCCCATTTTCACCCAGATTTTGAAGGACAGGGAAATTATTAGCTGGGGTCTTTCTATTTTGGTCAGTTGTCCAAACCACTGGTATCTTCAAGGAGGGGGATTTTATCACTATGAGCATTTTGACTTGGCATTAATGTGCCTACATGGTAACGGGAATAAGATGTACTCCTTTTTTCTTTCATTCACTAAATCTGTATTTTTGGTTATTTCTTCTAGGTGGTTTTTAAGTTCTAAACTCATGGACATATTTTTGTGACTGGTCTGGTATAAGGGCTCTTTGATTTGGAGGATCCTATATCCTTTGGTACCACCCATACCTAGGTAACCAGTCCTGACCTTGGTCTGGGTGTGACCACACATCATGCCTTTGATTACCTTTGGTCTGCACCAAGTTTTTCTGGCCAGGTGAATTTTGGGTTCTGGCTCCCTGGGCTTTTGTTTTCAACCTTCATGATTTTTGGATCTGTCAAAAGGTTGTATCAGAATGGTTATGGTTATTTGAGGCTGTCCTTTTGTTGCTTTCAGGGTAGCAAGTTATTGTGTGCTTTTCTTTTTGGGTTTTTTTTTTTTTTGGCAGCTGGCTGGTACAGGGATCAAACCCTGGAACTTGGTGTTATCAGCACCATGCTCTAACCAACTGAGCTAACTGGCCGGCCCTCAAGTTATTCTTATGTACAGTGGAAAATTAAAAATTTCCCCTCTCCTAATTTACTCATTTCTTTCTCAGACCTTTCATTACTTTTCTGATCAATGGGCTGTTCTTCTACACCGCTTCCATTGTTTATGGTGGTAGAACCCGGGGATATTTTCTCACCCACCAGCCATACAGATTCTTCCATGGACTAATAGCTTGATTCCAACTGTCCTCTTTTTTCATTTATTCTGTTTGATGGCACTTAGCTCCTGTTGTTTCCTGTTATGTGTAATTTCTCACTTGTTTTTGCTTTTTGCTCTCTCTTCAGATTATCTCTTAAAGTATTCTTTCTTTATTTTTTTTTTTGGTGTGTGGTTGGCTGGTTCTTTGGAAAAGGTAGAAAACAGCCATTTTTGGAGGAAGTAAATAGGTATATTCTGTGCTAAGTGATGAAGTCTTTGAGGAAATAGTGAGGCCTTCTTTAGGATACTTATCAGTGTGACATCAGCCATGGCAAAGGCGAGCCTAGCTCCTTTTGTTTCATGCATAAAAGAGGAGGGAAATTTTGCCAGTCTACCCTCACTGTGTGGCAGCTGACCTTATAGTTCGTTCAGCCATTTGGTGGCTCCTGATAGGGCCTGATTGAAGCCTAAAAGAGTTTGGTTTTGATTCTGCAGATGAAATGGATGGTGACATGTTTTGTAGTCAGCAGCTACCTTGTAGCAAAGTATTGCTTGCAAAAAAACCAAACAGCCTTGAAAGAACAGATTCTGAATATAATTTTGTGAATTGTAGACTGCTGGCTCTATTATGGGTTCCAGTTATAACCCTGATGTGGTACTATCCTAGTTTGAATGACTTTTTATTCTGTACACATTGGTGGAGTGTTCTAATGACCTTGACAGGGGAATATTGGTGCTTTTGCCCTTTGAATAGGTATTCTTGTAAGTTACCCCAGACTAGAAGTGAATCTTTTTCAGCTGAGAGTGAGGTCCAATGTTTACTGATTTGGGGGTTTCAAAACAACGATGTCCATAGTAGTGCTCTGAAAAGGTGGCTTTCAGAGTAGCTGAGGTAATATCTTAGTCAATTGATGTTTCTGCCAGTGAGATTAACAGCCGAGCATCTCCTTCCCATGCAGAGATGACAATTCTTTTTGCCCTTCACTTGCCTTTGATTTCTCTGCTCTCTGTTGGGGCATCCTGTTTTGATTCTTTCTCATCTAGTGCTGGTACCTTCTTCTAATCCAACCCCTTGCCTCTTTTCCTAGATTCACATTGAGATGGGGATTTTGATTTTATTTGAGAATATGTTTCAAGGAAAATCTTCAGTAATGTATAGAGACTGGAATTCCAGTTTTCAAGCTATGTAGTTAACCACATGTATTGGCCAAGGCAAAAGATAAAAAAGATTGATCGAGAATATGTTTCAAGGAAAATCTTCAGTAATGTATAGAGACTGGAATTCCAGTTTTCAAGCTTTGTAGTTAACCACATGTATTGGCCAAGGCAAAAGATAAAAAAGATTGATCGTCTTTATGAATGATATAGATTCTGTCTCATTGAGAAATCACAATAAGGTCTCTGGGAACGATAGTTATAGCCTAGTTTTCTCTGGCATTGTTGCATCTTGAAGGGTGATATTGGATCTATTTCACATGGCTGTTGATCTCACTTTCTACCTGTGACTGTTGTAGGCCTTGCTCCTTGACAGGTAATAGGGGCCATCAAAGCAGGTTTAAGCAATGTTGCCTTCTTGCCCACAGGTGATGCAGGTTCTGAATGCTGATGCCATTGTTGTGAAGCTGAACTCCGGAGCCTATAAGACCATCCATCTGTCCAGCATCCGACCACCGAGGCTGGAGGGGGAGAACACACAGGTGAGAATAAGGAAGCAGCTGAGCCTCTGCAAAAACCAAAGTGAAGGAGCTGGAGAATTAATGAAATATGACACACATGATAATGTAAAAGAACAAATATTTTAAATCTCCAGAGTATTATTTCCTACTGTTTGCAGCCTGGCTGCCATTGGTTGGGCAGTCCTCAGTGTCTCTGAACCACACTGCTCTGTTCCATTTTGGATGGGCACTGTTGGCACTCCTCCCAAAGGGGCTTGAGCAGTTAGGCTTGGGATATGTGAGACGGTAGATGAGTTTAATTTATTAAGAAGATCTTATTTCTTGGTGAATAAGGAGAAGGAGAAGGTCTGTATCTCACATACATTGTAATAGGGCCTATTTTGGCTGTTCATTTTGATTTGATAGCTCCTTATGTTTTTGCTCTAGGAAGAAATGAATTTGGGGTATCTATTCTCTCGGGTCACCTACTCATCTTTTACAAGTGGTAACTACAATTATTTGGTAAACTGTTTTGTGCTATTTGTTGGATCTTTTGGCAGAATATGTACTTGCCTAACCAAATGTGTATGACTCCAGCATATCAGTTTTGAGAAATTGTGCTTTGGACAAAAACTCCAACAAAAGTTGTTATTTAGCATCCAGATAGGCAGGGTTTTGTTGTTTTAACCTTTATGGTTGTTTTCTTTCCATCTTTATGAGCTGTGAGAGATTGGGGATAGAGATTAAGGTTGAACATTTTGGGGGGTTTGGTTAAGTCTTGCTTTTACAAACATCTTTCCTACTCCTATTTTGCCCTCTGATAACTAAAGTATCTAATTGTGTTGACTAGTTATAGAATTAGGCCTTCAGGGACAGCCAGTGCTAAAGGCAAATGTTTGGACAGTTTTCAGAATTAAAGATCGTGGTTGAAGTTAGTGCTGTGTACTGTCTACCCTTTTTATTTATGCCCTTTGTAGTTCTAAAGATGTGAAATTTGCTTTTCTAAGGTTTTGTACATGTACATGTCTTGGTGCATGCACAAGTTGAAATTCATGCCCTGTTTTCATTTGTGTGAGAGTTTATAGACAGCCCATAAGAGTAAAATAAAAATATCATGATTGTCTTTTGAATCAGATCATGCATAAAAAACACATATAGGATGGGTGATTTGAATGTCTAGCCAATTAGTTCATTCTCTCCCTTTTTTCCCCATAAAGGAGGCAATTTAATGCAGCAACCAGTATTGTGGTAAGGTTGAGAATTTAAATTCATGGAAGCCTAGAAATGCCAAAATAAGTTTCTTTTAGTAACTATTGCTCTGCCTCATTGCACAGAGTAAACACTCATCTCCAATTTTATCCGTATTGGGAGTAGTCCACAATTCTGCATCTGTGCCATACAGTTGGAATTAAGGTTCCCACAGCAACCACAACTTTGAAATTCTTGAAAGTTAATTTTTGTGCCTGCATGATCAGCCAAAGCATTATGTTAATATAGACTATGTAGCTGAATTTTAACATTTTTTTAGGGGTATGAGGGAATTATAGCTTAGGTAGATGATAGCAAGTCTTCCCAGAGCAGCTACTATACATCTTGAGTGTTCAAGGAGAATAAGTTATTATCTGGGAGGCGGTGCACTCTAGGCCAACAATGTCCAATGGATATGTAATGGGAGCCACACACACAAGCTGTATTTGCTATGATGAGTTTTCGAGTAGCTACATTAAAAAACCAAAAAGAAACATTAATTTTAATGTATTTTATTTGACTCATATATCTACAATATTATCATTTCAACATTTAATGAATATAAAAAAATAATTTAAAAAAATTTTTTAACTAAGTCTTTGAAATCTGGTGTGTGTTTTACACTTGCACATCTCAAAACACTCTAGTATATGTCAAGGACTCAATACCCATGAGGCTAGCAGCTTTACTGGGTGCCTGTTTTGCACCAGGTACTGTGCTGGGGATGCAGTGGGAAATAAACAGATGCTGTCCTGTCTCTACGCTCATGGAACTTTAAAGTCTAATAGGGAAAAACCACAGGTATTTTCAAGTTTGTTAAGTGCTGTGAAAGAAAAAATTTGAGTTTAGCAGAGTGCATAATCTGGAAGGTTTCTCTGAGGAAGTAGCCTTTAAGGCCCAAAGGGTGATTAGGAGTTAACTAGATGAAAAGTGGGAGAAGACAATTTCCAACATGGAGAGCAGCAATGACAAGAATTCGGTGAGTTTTGGGGAATAGAGAATGGATGGCCATGGTGGATTATGTATGAGTGTATGACACCTGTGTGGTACATAACTATTGGCAGGGCCAGACCATACATGTCCTGTGAACATTTCAGGATATTCACGAAGGGAGAGAGAATATGGGATGTGTGATGATCTGCAAGTCATATTGTAGGACCAGAATAGAGGATAGGTAAATGTAGGGAATAGTAAGAAATGGGCTTGGGAGTTGGGCAGGGGCCACACATGTTGAAGACTTGTATGCCATGCTTTTTAGGTTCTAAACTTGAACCTTGTCTTGAAGAATTCTAAACTGGGAAATGGTGTCTTTGAATTTAAGTACTCTTGTGTTGGTGATTTGAATTTGCAAGACGTGAAGGTGATTTGCATCTTATAAGAGAAGATCATACTAGATAAAAACTGATCTGCAGCAAGGAGTTCTGGTTTTCCTTTTAGTAAGCCTCAGTTGACCGAGGAGAGAATGGTGTGGGGAATGAGAACTGTGGACGCTGCTCCATGCAGTCCTTCCTTATAATGGAGGATTCGGAGTACTTGCCTTTCTCTTCATCAGAGCTTTCATAAAGAGTGCAAGATTCTGCTCTATGCTTTTCTTAAGGTTATCAAAGATTTACAATATAGGTACAGGAAGAAAAATCACCTGGGAATCCCAGTTGTGGCTATAACTATATGCACATACAGACTGGGCAGCAGACATCCCCTTGGAGTCTTGGGTTTCTAGTTTCGTTTACTATATACCACCTGTTCTTATAGCTATAAGAGGAGCCCAGTCAAGCATTCAGGACATAGCTGTTGGGGCCAGGGCCTCTGTTAGCCCAAGTAGTACCTTTGTGCAAATTAGAGAAGTGTGCTCTTTCTCCAGGCAGCCTTATGTCGGGGCACATGACTTAGCGAGTGGAGGCTGAGTTTCAACTTCTGTTTTCCCTTTGTCCCATCAGCCAGATGCCCTTATGCAAGGCACAGTGTACACAAGAGTATGTGTCTGTCCTAGTTAGAAAAGGGCTAGTAGAACCTCCAAGGGAAACATCAAGGGTGTGTTTTGGGAATTGTGGAGTGATCTTGTAGTTGGAGAAACACAGGGTGCTTGAGTATTGTTTGGAGATGAAGGTGTGTGACAATGAATTGTGGAAGGCCTTGAAAGAAACACTCAGGAGAGTGTAACCTTCTGTTTAATTATGGAACCCTTTTTGGGGGTCAGTGGCTTTGAAATGGAGAAAGATAACCTGATAGTATTGGAGCCTTTATTAAACCAAAGAACAAAAAGTGGGAGAGGGTGCAGATTAAGGAACTGGAGGATTAAGTGAAGAGGCAGGTGTTTGGATTGAGCTTCCTCAAGGGTGGACAGATGGCTTGCAGTGATTCCTGCTGCTGGTAGGCCTCCCTACAAGCTCCCAGATGAGGACCTAATGGGGCTTGCCCTTGAAGGAAGCATGGGGAGATTCTTTTAATGTTTCTCTTCTTCATGTCCTAAAAACTCTCATAGCCTGTTATCAACTAAAAGAGATTTTCTGAGACATCCATAAATTTGGGGGATAGTAGGGCAAATTGGATTTTTCTTTTTTGTACACAGACAAGTTCATTTCTCTTAAATTATACAGGAAGAGGAAATTTTGCCCAAGGCTAACTGTATATTTTTACTGCCCCTTTTTGGTTACTTTCTAATTGCAGCTGGAGGAAGTGCTTGGACAAAACACCATGATCAAAAGAACTATCTTCCCCCTAGACAGCTGCCTTCCAATATTACCCAGGAATTCATGGGTAGCCACTGCTGCTGGATTTTGGTTAGAGTATGGTTTGTTGATGGAAAGTTAAAAGCAACAGTGTGTAATATTTCCCTCAGGATTCCATTTGGATGTATCTGATGTTGTTGATTATGTTTCTGTGGCACTGTGATTCTGGATTATTCAGGGAGAATCCAGTGTCACCTCTTAGGAGATGTTAACTCCTTCAGGCTGAGAGCCAGTTTAGAATGCTGACACATGGTGCTCCTGTGAACCTGAGCATGCACTAGTGTTTCTTTAAAGCTATATAGTCAAGTGTCTCATAACAACGGGGACACATTCTGAGAAATGCGTCATTAGGCAATTTCATCATGCAAGCATCATAGAGTATGCTTATACAAACCTAGGTGGTATAGCCTACTACACGCCTAGGCTATATGGTATAGCCTATCGCTCCTAGGCTACAAACCTGTACGGCATTTTACTGTGCTGAATATTATAGGCAGTTGTAGCACAATGGTAAGTATCTGTGGGTTTAAACGTATCTAAACATAGAAAAGGTATAGTAAAAAATATGATATAAAAGATCAAAAATGGTACACATCTATAGGGCACTTATTGTGAATGGAGCTTGCAGGACTGGAAGTTGCTCTGGGTGAGTCAGTGAATGTGAAGGCTTTTTGATTTTTTAAAACTTTGTGACTCTTCTGTAATAACACTTAGTTTAAAATACAAATGCATCGTACAACTGTACAAAAATGTTTTCTTTATATCCTTATTCTATGAGCTTTTTCTGTTTTAAAATTTTTAATTTTATTTTTTTATTGTTTATTTTTGCTTTTTAAACTTTATTGTTAAAAACTAGGACAGAAACACACATTAGCTTAGGCCTACACAGGGTCAGAATCATCAATATCAGTGTCTTCCACCTCCGCATCTCCCACTGGAAGGTCTTTAAGGGCAATAACATCGTGTAGCTGTCATCTCCATTGCTAACAATGCCTTCTTCTGGAATGCCTTCTGAGGGACCTGCCTGAGGCTGTTTTACAATTAACTTTGTTTATTATAAGTAGG